AAGAGAAGATATGCTGCCTGGGATTGGAATAACAGAAGATCAGCACGGAGGTAGTACCATTCAGTAAAGCCTGTGAAGCTTACAGCATGAAAAACGTCACCTTCCATCTCCAGAGAGCACCAGCTTCTCTGCCCCAAATAACTGTTAACTGTTTTAATTGAAAGACATAATCAGATAACAACTACAAAGGAAAATTCCCCTTTCACTCAGTGTACTGAACAGATGAAAAGTGGTGTAGGGGAACTATTCATTCATTTTTTCCCCATATTCAGGGCATTTGTAACACTAATTTTCCCACATACTTTATTTCACATAACTGCTTCACCAACACTGTTTTTCATTTGTACGTAACATATAAATATGTTTATAGCTTACAAGTTAAGAAAACTTTAATTCAGGAGTACAGAATGGATTTATCTATGCTTTTAACACAAAGATAATTTTATCAAGGAGACTTTGTTAGTTTTTGTCATGGAGCAAAGGTTAAAAAAAAAAAAAGCCACCTCTAAGCTGGGAAGATGGGCTTGGATTTACCTGGTGGGGAGATGGGTGCTGTCCTCTTGCTGCTGAATGTGCTAGTTCTTCCAATATACTGTACTACTGCAATGAGAAGAAGGAGAATGTTAGTATTGCTGCAAAAGACTGAGAGATGAATTTGAAAAGTAAATGACAGGCCATAGTAAACCTTGTCTGAATGTCCTCCTTGCAAACCTCTGTCTCCGGACTTCTTTTATTGAAGGTTAATCTTAAATGAATTTCTTGAGTTTACAGTAATATGTTTTGGCGTAACTGCCACATTGCTTTAATTTACTTTAAATCACTGACAGATATTTCTGACTCCTATTTTAACATGATTTATCTGGAAATATACCAAAAATGAATAACACAGTAATAGTTTATGCAGTATTTTTGAGTTTAAATTGTAAGTGCCCACTCATTCATATTTTAACATATGGTCTTAAATGTGGTCCTTTTCATCAGAGTCATATGCATCAATGACTAATTCACACTATCAACCAAAATGTCCACAGCAAACTAGCAATAAGAAAAAAGCAAGAAATGCATTGTGCAATGTGCTTGCTCATGCTACGAATGGGAGTTTTTAATATGTAACACCAATATGTACCACCACTCTGTGGTATACGTTATAGAAGTCTTAGGAATGGAAGGCTTCATAATGGAAGGCTCCAGTCTTTCCCAGGAAAACAAAGAACAACGTAGACTACAGCTAATACATAAAAAATTGGTGTGTTTTTATAATTTAAAAAGCTGTTAGAATGGGTACTGACCCGCTAGGCAGCATAGAAAGAAAACAGAATAAATATATTTACAAAATAAAATTACAGTGGCTGTATTTAGCTATTCAACCTAGTGTCAGTGAAGGAGGGTATTTAACGATGAGTCACATGAATCCCATGAACGCTATTGACAATAAGTACAGTAAATAGAGTGGCCTTGGTGTACTTCCATTTACAAAAAGCCTAAAGTTCCTCTTGTAATTTGAAATCCTAGTAATTAAAGATGAGGGAAAGGGAGAACAGCCTACTAGGGCCTCTTAATCCTTCATCTATATGCAAATTGTTTTTTTTAACCATACATTTCCTAGTACTGTGATTGGAATGGTTTTAAAGGTCTACAAAGACAAGCTTTCCAGTCCTTGAAGAGACTGTTACTGAATGATAAACACACACACAATGCAGAGTACTTGTTTTAATAATAAAATACTATTTTAATGAAGATCCTTGGTCATCTGATCTGATTGTCACCTAGCTTCTTGAGGGGAATATTCTCGTTTCAGAGCAGGGTTAGCCGCTGGTTTCCTGAGCTCTATGACCTGAGATACCTCATCTATTTCATTAATGTAAGATCCTCAGCTGCAGCAGTTTGAGCTGCTATTGATCATTTATATGATGTTTATGACAGTCAGGCCTGTCATAGGTTATTTATGCAAGAGATATGTTTGAGTACTGGCCTAGATCTCAGAAATTTGGATTTTATTCTTGCCTCTGCAGGTCATTGAGACAGATAACTTGCCAGTCTGCCTCTCTACTCCTCAGTTTCTTCATCTACAAAACGGGCATAATGATCTCTATTAGCTTTTAAAAACTGTTTTAAGATATACATGATAAATTATTAAGCAGTGTGGATTCGCTCCTTTGAATAACACACAGCTGTTAATACACTGACTCATCCACTTCCCTATTAGCCTCTTTATTTAAACATTCACTGTTCTTACTCTGACATAGCAAAACACTCATTTTCTCAAAGCTGCATTTGAAAAGAAGCTTTTATACTGCACAAGTGTAATTAGAATAGTAGAAAACTAGTGAGATTGCTATCAGCTTTGAGCTCGATGGATTATCTGTTATTTTAAATTCATGTAACTGAGAGTAACCAAAATTGCTTCCAGTTCAAGTCTGCCCTCCACTGGCTTTCATGAAACACTGCTGATACGTTTTGGATCAATAATGTCTTTTGCAATGGAGAAGAGGAACTAGATTAAGAGAAGCTAGCATCTTTTGTTTATTTTTATAGTAGCAATGTAATCTGTAAATTTCTGCTTAGTCTTATCTAGCTTCTCTAGCAGATTCTTGTTCTTCAGGTTTTCAAAAGCCCATCAGCTTATCATTCATCTCACAGTTCTTGGAACCAACATACAGCATGGGAAGTAACCATTCTGCACATGGTTTTAAAGTCATTTAATAGAAGGAAGATATAAGAAAATATTTTGTTATGATACAACTAACAATTCCAACATATAGTGTCACATGTACCAGTCAAGTACTAAAATCCTAAAAGCAATCAGTATTAATGTAGTCTAGTATTCTGTCACCAGAAGCAGTCTTTCCACCTAACATATGAAAGCAAAGAAGATAAACTTTTATTACTGTGTTTATTTTAGAGAGAACTTTCCATCCCAAATTCCATATGCAAATAACTCATCTGGGAGGGTCTGGGAGCCCAGGTCGTTTTCTCCTCAATCTTGCCTGGGAGGGGAAAGGATGGGAGGAGGAGTAGACGAGTTTTCCAAGTTAACAGCTGGCTGCACCACTAGTGTTGGCAACAGGGCTTTGGTTTCTATGACCATGGGACCCTGTTTGAAGATCAACAGCTGATGGGGAGAGATGGGATCCACCTTACCAAGCGGGGCAGGCGCGTCTTTGCTCACAGATTGGCCAGCCTGGTAAGGAGGGCTTTAAACTAGGCAAGATGGGGGAAGGGGAGCAGTATAGTGGCAGGGGAGTCAGTAAAACACCGCTCAAGTCAGGATGCCTCCAGCGGGTGCATACAGCCAGGGGAGACAGCACGGGACATGGCTATGGAGGATCCTCTTGCACCTCTCCTGGGAAGCCTGCGTGCTTGACTGGCTCTCTCAAATGCCTGAATACCAATGCACACAGCATGGGGAATAAACAGGAAGAGTTAGAGATCTGTGTGCGGTCGCAGGGCCATGATCT